AATTAATTCCACACACATTAATGGAGTTTTTCTCATATTCCAGACACTAAGCGAGGTGCTGGGTGTGTAGGAGAAACAGGAAGATGACAAAGACTTGGTTCCCATACTCAAAGAGCTCACAGCCTGGTAAGCAGAAAGGTGGTCCTGCATTTTACTCTGGACCACCAACCTAGATGAGGGAAAAGGCTCTGAGGAATTCCATGGTAATTCTGCTTGGAAGTGGAGTCTGAACCCAGGACTCCTGCCTCCAGGGTTCATGTCCACCCTGTTTCATTAATGCCAGTTGGAGGGCACAGTTTATCCTGGTCACCCTGGAAGAAACCCCCCAGCCAATTTCCTATTCCCTTCCCCATGGGACCTGCCTGTGTAGACAGTCCTCCCTCCTTCCCCATCATCCAAACCATTCTTGATAAGTAGCTCAGATTTTGAAGATAAATGACGATAGCAGCCCCACCTCATTCCACATTATTTACAATTTTGTTCTTGATGCCTTCCAGAGACCTCTCCCAACCCACGGCTCAGTTTTGTTTGTATGTTTGTTTGTTTGTTGTTGTTGTTGTTTTGAGATGGAGTTTCACTCTGTCACCCAGGCTGGAGTGCAGTGGCACAATCTTGGCTCACTGCAACCTCCACCTCCCAAGTTCAAGCGATTCTCCTGCCTCAGCCTCCCAAGTAGCTGGGATTACAGGAACCCGCCACCATGCCCAGCTAATCTTTGTATTTTTAGTAGAGTCGGGGTTTCACCATGTTGGCCAGGCTGGTCTCAAACTCCCAACTGCAAGTGATCCACTTTCCTCGGCCTCCCAAAGTGCTGGGGTTCCAGGCATGAGCCGCTGCACTCTGTCTCTGTTTTGTTTTGTTTTGCAGATGCCATCTATTAAGGACACCCACCTCAAATATGGTAGTGGAGAGTTTCTATTGCATGGAGCCTAATAGAATCATGTTTTCTGGCAAGGAAAAGGGAAATTAGCAAGCATGGAATGGGAGGTTTGGATGCTGTCTTTTGGCCAAGAAGCTCACTCTCACCTGCTCTACAACCAAGACTGTGAAATGCCCTGGTGTGCCCATCACACTGGAAAAAAAGCAAAAAGGCAGATGATGTGAAGTACCAGCAAGTGTGCAGGGAAATAAGCCTTCCCATGCACGACTGATGGGACAGGGATGGCCATTTCCTCTGAGAAAGAATTCTCTATTAAAATAAAAATGATAGAGATGTTCTGCTCAGTCACCCCACATCTGGGAATCTATCGTACAGAAATCAGAATTCCAGTTTGTAAGAACCTATGTTCAAGAATATTTGCTGCAACTATTTTTGTAGTGGTAGGGGGAAAAAAACTAGAAACAATCTGAATGTCCCTCGATAAGGAAATGTGGGATAAATTTCAGCACATCTATGCTCTAGAATTCACCATGCAAGTTTGTTGCTAATGATTTATTGTGATAAAATACACCATCTTAATCATTTTTAAGTGGGCGATTCAATGGCGTTCAACTAATTGCCAGTGTTGTGCAGCGATCACCGCCATCCATCTCCAGAACTTTCCATCTTTAAAAACTAAAGTTCTGCCCTCGTTAAATGCTAGCTCCCACTCCGCCTTCCCCAGCTCCTGGCAGCCACCATTCTACTTTCTGTCTCAAGAATTCGACTCCCCCAGGTACCTCATATGAGTGGAATCACATGATATCTGGCCTTTTGTGACTGGCCTATTTCACTCAGCATAACATCCTCGGGGTCCATCCATGTCATAATAACTGTCGGAATCCCCTTCTTTCCTAGGACGGAATAATATTCCCTTGTATGGATGGACCACGTTTTGTTCACTTATCCATCGATGGACACTTCAGCTGCTTCCCCATTTTAGCTATCATGAATAACACTGCTGTGAACCTGGGTGCACACGTATCTCTGAGACTCTGCCTTCAGTTCTGCGGGGTAACTGCTGGCTCATACAATAATTCCATCTCTAAGTTTCTGAGAAGTGATATGGCTACTGTTTTCCACAGTGGCTGCACCATTTCACACTCCCACCAGCAGCTCTCATGCAATTATTAAGAAGAATGAGGGCCGGGCGCGGTGGCTCACGCCTGTAATCCCAGCACTTTGGGAGGCCGAGGCGGATGGATCACAAGATCAGGAGTTCAAGACCAGGCTGACCAACATGGTGAAACCCCCATCTCTACTAAAAATACAAAAAATTAGCCAGGCATAGTGGTGCATGCCTGTAATCCCAGCTACTCAGGAGGCTGAGGCAGGAGAATCGCTTGAACCTGAGAGGCGGAGATTGCAGTGAACAGAGGTTGCGCCACTATACTCCAGCGTGGGCAACAGAGTGAGACTTCGTCTCAAAAAAAAAAAAAGGAAAATGAGGCCGGGCCCAGTGGCTCACACCTGTAATCCCAGCACTTTGGGAGGCTGAGGTGGGTGGATCACCTGAGGTCAGGAATTCGAGACCAGCCTGGCCAACACGGTGAAATTCCGTCTCTACTAAAAATACAAAAATTAGGCCGGGTGCGGTGGCTCAAGCCTGTAATCCCAGCACTTTGGGAGGCCGAGACGGGTGGATCACGAGGTCAGGAGATCGAGACCATACTGGCTAACACAGTGAAACCCCGTCTCTACTAAAAAATACAAAAAACTAGCCGGGCGAGGTGGCGGGCGCCTGTAGTCCCAGCTACTCGGGAGGCTGAGGCAGGAGAACGGCGTGAACCCGGGAGGTGGAGCTTGCAGTGAGCTGAGATCCGGCCACTGCACTCCAGCCTGGGTGACACAGCGAGACTCCGTCTCAAAAAAAAAAAAAAAAAAAAAAAAAAAAACAAAAATTAGCCGGGCATAGTGGCAGACGCCTATAATCCCAGCTACTCAGGAGGCTGCGGCAGGAGAATCACCTGAGCCTGGGAAGCAGAGGTTGCAGTGAGCAGATATCACACCACTGCACTCCAGCCTGGGCGACAGAGAGAGACTCTATCAAAAAAAAAGAAGAAGAGAAGAAGGAGAAGAAGGAGGAGAAGAAGGAGGAGGAGGAGGAGGAGGAGGAGAAGAAGAAGAAGAAGAAGAGAGGATTCAAGTACTGAAAGATGTTGATGTCATTGGTCAAGCTCCCAGGGTGGGGGTTTGCAGGTGGGAAGTTGACTGGGACGCCTTGGGAACCCAAAGAAGCAGGAAAAGCTGAGCACGAAGGGTCAGGCATGAGCCTCCGGAGACAACGCTGGGGGCCGAAGCCTCGGGCTGAAGGGGCAGGGCCTGGTCCCTGCATGGCTGTGCAGTGATTGCAGCTGACGATCTCACTTTGGGAGAAATGGGAGATAGATACACACACGTTCACATTTACATTTCATTTGTGTGCATTTGGGGAAAGCTGCGGAATGAATGGGATGGAATGACACCTGAGCAGGTAAAGCAAGTGCTTGGGGCCATCACAACTCTTTTAATCACACGAAGTGGAAAACGCTTAAGAGAATGGCTGTGGAAGCCACGCAGGTGGGCTGCGAGATTGTTTCTACCACCTGAGCACCGTGAACAACAGAGGACTTGCTGGGCCGTGATCGCCACATCTGGAAAACACAAACGTTCTCCACCCCGCGGGGCGTTATTTCATCCTAAATGGAACCACGCGCTTGAAGCACGTGGCGCGGAGGAGCCTTCTGCGCATGCGCAAAAGCTTCCTCGTCCCTCTGCGCACAGGGCGGGAGCAGAAAGTCAAACCCAGAGAACGTCGTGGAGAAGAACAGAAAGGGAGACACAGGGAGACAGAGACACAGAGAGAGACTCAGAGACACAGAAAGAGGCAGAGACACAGAGAGACAAAGACAGAGACACAGAGAGACAGAGACACAGAGAGAACAGAGAGCGTCAGAGACACAAAGAGACAGAGACAGACTCAGAGACACAGAGAGACAGAGACACAGAGAGACAGAGACACAGAGTCAGAGACACAGAGAGACACAGAGGGAGAGTCATGGAAAGACACAGACACAAACACAGAGATAGTCAGAGACAGAGAGACAGAGAGACAGAGAGAGACACAAACACAAAGAGAAACAGAGACAGAGAGACAAGGGCAGAGAAAGGATGGGGGAGGGAGAGAGGGAGCAAGAGAGTAACTCCCAGCTGATTACACACAGCAAAGAGAGAATTAGTGAATAGGGAAAAAAAAAAAAAGCCGAGAAAAACCAACCAGAATGCGGCACAGACACCAACGAGGAGGAGAGTGCACAGCAGAGGGCCACACGGACGGTGAGAGGTCCAACGCCCGCGTCCTGGAGCCCAGAAGGTGGGAGCAGGGCGGGACCCTGGTGGCCCGACAACTGTTTCCCGAGGCTGCAAATCACACAGATCTGGAGCTTGAAATGACACAAATGCATCCCCAGCAGTTCGAGAGGCTGGAGCTCTGACATGGCCTCCCCGGGCTAACATCAAGGCATCCGCAGGGCTGTTTCCTCTGCAGGCTGTGGGGGCTTCACTTCCTACCTTTCCCAGCTTCCAGTGGCTACCAGCTACTCAGCTGTGGCCCCTCCTCCATCTTCAAACCCAGCTGCAAGGCGTCTTCCCTCCTCTCCCACCCTCTGTCCCCTCCCATAGGGACCCTGGTGAGACCCTGGACCCACCCAGATGACCAGGATGATTTCTCACCTCAAGACCCTCAGCTGGCCCCCTCTGCGCAGCCCTTCGCAGTGACGTCATGGTGCAGGCCCCCGGAGTGAGGACGCAGACAGCTTCCAAGCGCTTGTTTGGCCTATCAGACGTCAAGGATGTTTAACGTCTTCCTGGAGGTCCTTGCCAGCCCCATAAGCCAGGACAAGAGGTAAAAGGATGAGGGTTAGGAAGGAACCACAAAGACATCCTACCTCCACGACAGAGCCCTGACCTCGGCCCTGGCACTGTGTTCCCAGCCACGTTCCTGAGCCACTGCCCGGCCCGGCCTGGGGACAGCAGCAGGCGTTGCCCCTAAGGCTCAGGGTGTCCCCCTCACCCTGCTGTGAAGGAACACCAGAGGCTGGGCGATTCTTAAAGAAAAGAAGTTTAATCGGCTCCCGGTTCTGCAGACTCTACAGGAAGTGTGGTGCTGGCATCTGCTTGGCTTCCGGGGAGGCCCCAGGAAACCCACAATCCTGGTGGAAGAGAAGGGGGAGCAGGCGCGTCACATGGTGAAAGCAGGAGCAAGGCGGGGAGGTGCCGCACACCTTTAAACAGCCAGGTCACGGGGGAGCTCGCTGTCATGAGGACAGCACCGAGGCAAAGGCAGTAAACCCCTCGTGAGAATTTGCCCCATAATCCAGTCACCTCCCACCAGGCCCACCTCCAACACTGGGAATTACATACAGTTCCACATAAGATTTGGGAGGGGACACAGATCCAAACCATATAGGGGTGGAAGGAAGGAAAAGAGGCGGCTGGGAGAGCAGCCGTCAGGAGTGCGGAGGTGGGGCAGGAGCTCAGGAGCTGGTCGGGTGCCAGGGGAGCTGCCTGCAGTGGGAGGAATCTAGGGGGTGGTCTCTCTGGAGGGGGCTGGTCTCTCTGGAGGCACAGGTCTCCCAGGATGCCAGAGGAAATCCTAGTGCAGTAGGAGGAAAGTGCACAGCGACCCCCCACCAGCAGACCCCAGATGTCCTGAGCCCTTGGCAGGTCCCGCTCCAGTTGGGGCAGGGGCAGGAGGGCAGGAGGAAGGGCTCAACCTGCCCTGAGCCAGGCAGCCTCCCCACACACCCTCTCCCAGCCTGGGGGATCACACCTGGCAGAGCCTTCCCCGGTTCTGAGCAGTTGCCCAGACCTGGAGGAGCCAGTGCCCTCTCAGGTGGGACCAGGGCTCCGAGGCCCTGGCTCCTTCAGGACCCAACCCCAGCTCGGAGGGTGCCCCAGCCGCAGACAGCCCAGGACGTCGAGAGGCTCTGCCACAGCGACTGGAGCTCCTGGGGACCTCCAGCCCAAGTCGTTCTGACACGAGGTCGAGGCTGCACACAGCCAGGCAGTGACGGCCAGGAACCCCCAGGGTCTGAGGCCCACGTGGACAGACGGACGGACGGACGGACAGAGGGCAAAGGCGGGAAGGTGTGCTGCTTCCTAGGCTGCCGCAACAAATCTCACTGACCGACGGCTGAAGCGATGGAAATGTGTCCTCTCGCGGCTCTGGAGGCCGAGTCTGAAGCCAAGGGTGACAGGCCCGCACCCTCTCTGAAGCCTCCAGCGCAGGGTCCTTCAGCCTCTTCCAGCTCTGAGCAGCCCCTGTGGTTGGTGGTGGCGTCACTGCAGCCTCTGCCTCCACCTTCACACGGCTTCTCCCTGCGTCTATGGTTCACAAGGACAGTCATCACTGGGCTAAACCCACTGCAATCCAGTATGACCTCCTCTTACTCCATCATGTCTGCAAAGGCCCTCCTTCCAATAAGGCAGCAGGCTGAGCTTCCAGAGGGACACGAATTTGGGGACGCCGCTCACCCCAGCATAGAAGCAAATGAAGAAGAATGGGCCGTGCAGAGCCCCACTGGGCTCCACAGCTTCCAGAACCAGAGGCCTGTGGCTCCTTTGGTTCAGATCTGAAGGCAGAAGAGTGGACTGTGATGACCCTACTAGCCACAAGCCGGGGCACACGCGTGACACGATGCACCCAGCACGTGATCTACACGGGCCACAAGCCAGGGCACACACGTGACACGATGCACCCAGCACGTGATCTACATGGGCCACTAGCCAGGACACACGCATGAGAGGATGCACCCAGCATGTGACCTACACACACGTCACAAGCCAGTACACATACATGCATGACACAATGCACCCCGTACATGACCTACACACGTGCCACAAGCCAGGACACATGTGACACAATGCACGCAGCACGTGATCTACATGTGCACCACGAGCCAGGACACACACATGACAGAATGCACCCAGCACACGACCTACACACACGCCACAAGCCAGGACACACGCATGACAGGATGCACCCAGCCACACCACCTACACACACGCCACAAGCCAGGACACATGCATAACAGGATGCACCCAACACGTGATCTACACGTGCGCCCTAGATTCCCATGTTGAAATATTAACCCCAAGGTGATAAGGTCAGGAGGTGGGGCCTCCTGGGAGGGTGGAGCCCTCATGAATGGGATAGTGTCCCATACAGGAGACCCAGGAGAGACCTCCCTCCCGCCGTGTGTGACACAGCCAGAGGCCGCCATCCATGAGCCAGAAACAGGGCCCTTACCAGACACGGAGTCTGCTCTCATGATCACAGACTTTGACCTTGGACTTTGAGCCTCCAGAACCATAAGAAATACATTTCTGTTGTTTCCAAGCCCCCTGGTCTATATATTTCATTTTAGCAGCCCCAAGGCACTAAGACACAGACCCCCTAAAACCAGCACTGCCAGGGCCTGGGCAAGGGGCCCCTCCTATGACAGGCTGAGGCTGCCTGAGGTGGGGAGGGGCCTGGGGTGATTGTGGGAACTCAGGGCTCTCAGGGGCCCCGGATCCAGGCCCCCATCCTGCCCCTGCCTGGAACCCAGTGGTAGCCCCTCTCAGGCAGGAGCCCTCCCAGCAGAGTAGTTGCTGGGGAAAAGGGGGCCGCAAGGGGAGGTCATCTCTGCTCCCCTGGGGACCTTCGGCGACTCAGAGACCACCCGGATGCCCCTCACTGCTGGGGGCTGGCCGTGGGTCCCCGCCCTTGGGAATGGTCACCGAAGCCAGCCCAAAGGGTGACCAGACCCAGAGACACGCAAAGAAGCCCATCACACACAATTCAGGGCCAGGAAGAAGGTGGCACACGTGTGCACCCCCCGGCCGGGCCGTCGTCCACGGGTGTGGCAGCAGGCTGGGCAAGAGCACTTGAAGCCAGAAGGAAGGGCCCGTGGAGAGAGGGGCCCAGGGCTCACTTCTATTTTTTCTTTATATTTTCTTTATAGCTTTCTACATTTTCCAGATTTTCTTTTTTTCTTTCTTTCTTTCTTTCTTTTTTTTTTTTTTTGAGTCTCACTCTGTCGCCCAGGCTGGAGTGCAGTGGCACAATCTTGGCTCACTGCAACCTCCGCCTCCTAGGTTAAAGTGATTCTCCTGCCTCAGCCTCCCAAGTAGCTGAGATTACAGGTGCCCACCACGATGCCCAGCTAATTTTTGTATTTTTAGTAGAGACGAGATTTCACCACGTTGGCCAAGCTGGTCTCGAATTCCTGACCTCAGGTGATCCACCTGCCTCGACCTCCCAAAGTGCTGGGATTATAGGCGTGAGCCACTGTGCCCGGCTCATTTTCCAGATTTTCTACAGTAAGCACATATTGCTTTTGTCATCAGAAATTAAGACTTTAAAAGGAGAATAAATAAAAAGGAACTTCCCTGGGGAAACAGCCCCAGTGGAGCCCAAGCCCTCTGCAGGGTGGGGTCAGGGGAGCGGGACACAGGGCTGGTCCTGGAAGGTGACCCCCTCCTGGTGTCCAGCTCTGCGGGGAGAGGCCCTACCTCCTACTCCTCTGGTAGGAAGTTCAGAGAGTGCGGCAGACCACTTGCAAATCACCGCACAGGAGGCCAAGGGTGGAAGCCGCTTCCTCCCTCCTGCCCTCCCTCTGCTGGCCCCGGGATGTTTAGAAGCAGAGCTTTGCCAAGGCAATGAGATTTTGGGATGAGGGTCAGAGAAGCGGGTTAGAGCAGAGCTCCCTTCCCCAGGGCTGGAACCTGAAAAGCAAAGAAACGTCTACCCCGACACAAGCACGATTCCTTTATTTCGAGCCAGAAAGCAGCCAGCAAGCAAGTGCTGCCACCCACAACACCCTGGGCTACCTGCAGTCCTGTGCCTGACCCTGCAGCCTCGGGAGGGAGCTGTGGGGGGTCGCCCAGGGCCCACTTCCTGCCCCTACCCTGCCCTGCTCACTCCCAGCCGCTGTTCCCCTTCTCGAAGAGCAACCCCTGCTTGAGAACTCTGAGGAGAAACTTGCTTCTAATCCACAGGATTCTGCACTAAGAGCCCCCCCACATCCATCCTGGGGCACCCCAGCATATTCCACCCCTCTGCCCCGGGCACCCAAGGGGCATGGGCACGGCCAGAAGGCCTGTCAGGAGGGCCAGCAGCACCCCCGAGGCTTGTCCCCAAGGTTGGGCGGCTCGGGGCTGGTGGGCACGTTCTCCAGGACCTCACGTAGGGAGAATGTGCAAAAGGAAATCTCATCATAGGAGGTCCTGGCCCCACTCTCGTACAGGCAGGCAAAAACCAGGCCCCCCTCAGGGGCCGGCCCGACGGACGCCAGGTCGGAGTAGCCGCTGGGGCCCTCGTAGATCACCCAGGGCTCTGTCCAGCTGTGCGGGTCCAGCGGGGCCTGGCTCAGCCGGATACCCATGTGCAGCCGAGCCCTGCGCCCCACTGGGTGGGAGTACAGCAGCCACGTGGGGCTCTGGGGTGGGGCAGCAAAGGGCATGGGGAGCGCTAGGGTCCAGGACCCCACATCCCCACTGACCCCAGGCTGCCTGGGGCCATCCCCCTGAGGCTGCAGATGGCTGCAGGGCCCACCAGGCACCTGGGCTCCATGGGGGTCTCCGGCAGCCTCCTCTGGGGGTTCATGGACTCCAGGACCAAGGCGTGGAGGGTGAAGGGGACTCCCGGGGCCCACTGACCAACCGTCATCCCGTGGCCTGCTGGGGGCGGGGGCTGGGAAGCCCACGATGCTGCCCTGGCAGCCCCAGGCGGTCTCGGGCAGGGAAGCCACACGCTCTGCGGGCAGGAAGGAGGTGCCCTCGTCAGTGCTGAGTGCCTGCACGCGGCTGCCCAGGGTGCTCCGGGCATTGCAGTAGAGGAAGCTGCCGGCCTGTCCACCATCCACTGCTGCCAGCTGGCACTCGCCCGAGCGCAGGTTGGGCACGAGGCCTCCACAGCGCCAGGTGCGGCCGTGGTCATCGCTGTAGAAGGCGAAGGAGTGGGGGCTGGTCCGGCAGATCTTGCCAAAACACTCTCGGCGGTCCACGCGGTAGGTGTAGGCGGGCACCAGCAGGCGGCCTGAGGGCAGCTGCACGCCGTGGCCGGGACCCACGGCGAACGTGGCCCAGTCTGTGGGGAGGAGGGCGGAGGTGGGAGGGGCTGCTGAGTCCCCGAGGTTGGGGGGGGCGGATGGAGGAAGGCACAGGGGTCGGGGAAGGCACAGGGGTCGGGGAAGGAGGGGCTGGTGCCTCGGGTTAGGACCGTCACACTCTGACCACCCTTCCACACAACTCATTGCAGCCGCCCTGAGTCCTCCCAGGCTGACAAGCCTCTCCCAGCCCTTAGCAGCCGCGCCCAGGTGGACAGCACCCAGGGAGGCTGGCGAGCACTGCCCATACAGATACAGCGGAGGGCGGGCAGGGGGAGTGAGGCCCTGCGGTGGGGTCCTGGGGTCCGCCATGTATCTGCTCCACTCCCTGCTGTGGCTCCCACAGGCCAGGGTCAGGTGGCCACAGAGGACGGGGTGGAGGGAAAGCTGTGGCGAGGCCTGGCCAGGCCCTAGGCGGGGTGAGAAGGGAGTAAAGATTAAGAGGAAGGGGTGGGGCAGGGTGGCTGTTGGTTTGGGAGCTGAGAGACACCTCAGCATTCAGCCTTCTCCTCTGCAGATAAAGGGATGACCTGGGGGGATGAGAGTCTGATCAGCCATAGAGGGCCTGCTCCTGCCCACCGGATGGACTGGGTGGCGACCAGTACCCATTTGCCTGGGACGGGAGGCCCAGGACAGTCCTGGGGAGAGGGCTGGTTGGTTCCCTTATGGCTGGAGGCAGGGGCGGGGGTGGGGCAGAATGGACATTTCCAGCTGGAATCTCCCTTCCATGTGGACCGTGGCCAATCCGAGGGACCCAGACTGGCACCCTGCCCGCCTACCCTGCACGGCACCACCAATGGCCTCCTCGGTGAGGTCCCGGGCGCTGCCCCACGAGAGGCCGGCATCACGGCTGGCCACGTAGCAGAGGCGTGCGGCGTTCCTTCCCGTGGCGATCTGCACGGCCTCGGGCGTGTGGCCCAGCACCGCGATGAAGAAGAGGAAGACGGTGCCTGTGCCAGTGTCGTGCACGGGGCAGGGGTTCATGGACCGGTGCTCTGCCAGGGCTGCTGTCCCCAGCACCTGCAGGGCGCCCCACTGCCCAGAGGAGGAAGTGCCACTGACTAGGATGTCCAGGGACCTGCGCACAGCCCCCCGTGGGGCACCCGAGACAGCTGAGCCTGGTTTGCTCATCTCTATCTCGGGCACCCGCCTGCCACCGCCACCCCCGCCCCTGTCCCTGGGTGTGCAGCCCCAGTGGGCCCGGCCACTCACCCGCACGGAGCCCCCGGCCCGCGTGCCCCTCCTCAGCACCAGGCGGTGGGCATGGGAGTCGTCAGGGCTGAGCCGCTGCTCCACAAAGGCCAGCAGGGTGGGCCCGGGGGGCACAGGGAGCAGCGAGGGCACGCGGTAGGTCAGGCCGGTCCTCTCCCGCTCAAAGAGCACTGTCCGTGAAGGGGTATGAGGGGCCCCCATGCTCTGCTGGTCAGTACAGGGCCACAGGTCAGCAAGGCAGGCCCAGGGAGTCCCACACTCGCTCCTCCTCTGGATTGGGGAAGGGGCTCAGGAGGTGCAGACAGCTCCTGCCCACACCTAGGGCTCTTCCTGTACCCACCTTGGGGTCAGGCCTGTTTCTGACTCCCTCACCCCAGATCTGGAGCAGCCCCTCCCCAGTCCACCCTCACAACCCCTGTACCCCAAATGTCTATGGAATCAGACCTTCCCCTCTCAACACGGCTCTGGGAGTTGACCCTCGGCCAGGCTAGTTGGTGCGGAGGTGCAGGGGAGGCTGGCCGGAGAGCCCCGGGACCCTGCCAGCCATGTGCCCAGGACACAGGGTCATCCCGGAATTCACCCAGCAGGAGGTCATGTGGACAATCAGGACCCAAAACCTCAAGCAAGGAGAGGCTCAGTGTCCCCAGAATAGAGGCCACAGCAAACAGAGACACAAAGAGGTGAGCTCACAGGGACTGCTGGGAGCCATGGGGACAGGGGACCCACTCCCACTTCCTGAACGTCATCGGGTCGCCCATAGCCAGGGGTCCTGCAGGGGACAGGTGCTCGGCGGTCAGACCCCTGCCTGCAGGGCAGCTGGCCCCATAGTGCCCCCACCCCACTGCCTGGTGCTTTGCACCTGCAGGCCCTGACCTGAGAAGCACCCACAGGAATCAGAAGCCCCAAAGCTGAGTGGGGCTCCCAGACAACACCCACCAGGGCAGGGGCCGGGTGAGCGGGCATTTGGGGCACATATGGGGTCTGCTTGCTGCAGGCGGGACCTGCCTGGGGGTCTCTCTGTCTGACCGCACAAAGCCAGGCCGGGCCGTGCGTGAGCACGCACAGCCCGGCACGGGGAGGTGGCGCAGCTGCAGACAGGTGGGAACGCTGGTACCCACCGTGCAGGACTCGGAGCGGTCAGAGCCACGGCCAGTCACCCAGGCTGGGCACACGGGGCACCTGGATGGGAGGCTAAGGGGAGGAGGGAGGAGGGAGATGGCTGGATGCTGAGCACCGCACCTGGCCAGGGCACAACGCCTGCCTACAACGGGGACCCACGCACACTCACGAGTCAGGTGGGACCGATGGAGACCCAGGTAAAGGCGCAACACTCGTGCAAAACCCGGGCAGGCCTTGCCCCTACACCTGAGGCCCCAACAGACAGCTCCACCTCCAGCCACCTCTGCCCTGGGCCCCGGTTCCTGAAAGGCTCTTGGCTAGGACAGCTGGCCGGCCCCTTCCTGCTGCTCCCCCACCACCAGTGTGCGGCTTCTGAGAGCAGCTTCCTGTCCCCAAGAAGCCCCTGGCTCTGCTCTCAAAGGGCAATTGTGCCCAAGCGGGAAGCAGGTGCAGATGCCACGTGTCCCTCTGGGCTGAGCAGGCACAAGCAAGACATTCTCTCGGCACTTGGCTCCCTCCCCAAGGCCCGGGCCACAGGAGCCGGCGTCAGCACCCCCTGCAGACATGAGGCCCAGGCCCGCTCCTGGGGACAGAGAGGGAGGGAAGGAGGCTCCAGAAACCAGCTGGTCACTCCCCTCGTTGCACAGAGGGGAAACTGAGGCCCACAGAGAGGACAAGGCTGCCACACACTTGGCTTGGGGTATCCTTGCCACAGCCAGGCCCTGAGTTCCACAGAGCCTCTGTGTCCTCAGCAGGCCCCTCTGTCTCAGGGGTCAGCCCTGCTCAGTGCGGCCAGTTCCCTGGGTTCCACAGAGCCTCTGTGTCCTCAGCAGGCCCCTCCGTCTCAGGGCAGGCAGCCCTCTGTGTCTCAAGGTCTTGTCCTCGGGCCTGTTCAGGGGTCAGCCCTGCTCAGTGCGGCCAGTTCCCTGGGTTCCACAGAGCCTCTGTGTCCTCAGCAGGCCCCTCCGTCTCAGAGGCCAGCCCTGCTCAGTGCGGCCAGTTCAGCATGTTTCAGAGGTTTGGCTTGACTGGGACGGCTGTGTCCTGGACATTAACCAGTGCCCCCGCCCTCCCTGACAGGGCCCTTCTCAGGGCTGTGGAGTCACAGAAGGGAAAACCAAGGCCTAGGGGAGATAGGACCTCCAGGAGAACCTGGCCTTCTGGCCCCTGGACCCCTGGACCGGTTGTAGGGTTCACTCTGGCTTGGCAGGGGGCCATCACAGACCCCCCACCCCCACCCCTCGCAGCCCATCCTGTGTGGGCCCCCCTAGAGCCCTGAGGTCAGCCCAGGCCCTCCGCACACACCCTCTGGGGTCAGCACTTCTTGTCCTGGGACCCGTCAGGTGTAGGAACACCTTGGCGAGGGGCAGTCACATGCGCCCACGTAAAGTGCAGAGGCCAAAGCTTTGCGAAGGATCCCGGCGGGAGCCCTCGGCGGCTCTGACCCTCAGCCTGCGCTGTGAACGTCCTGTGCCCTGGCCAGGGCGAAGACTCCAGCCACAGACCCTTCACCTGGTAGAGCATCCCCGACCAGCCCATCTGCAGAACGACCCTGTGGGCTGGCGCCGGCCCCCTGCATTGGGCCTCTCACAACCCGTCTGCCTCCATCCCATGCCCTGAATCTGCCCCCAGGAACCCTCAGTGTCACACCCACCCTGTGGGCCAGGAAACTGTCCCATTGGGAGACGCGTGTGGGACCTCTTGTTGGAGGGGCCCTCGGAATCCATGCAGCCCGCCCCTTGTTTGAGAGCTGAGGAGCCACCCTGGGGTTGGCAAGCGGTGGGACTCATCCAGCACCCCCAGACAGAGGAGCCGGCCAGCGGGACAGATCCCTCAGGAGCGGGTCCTGGCCCCGAGCACCAGGGTAGAGGGGTGAGGGCACTGGGGGTGCCAAGGGCAGGGACTCACCGGCCACCTCGGGAAGGCTGCAGAGCTCATCATGGGTGGCTGCCTCGCCTGACCCAGAGCAGAGACAAGGGCCCACTGTGCGGGCAGCAGGCCAGGGAGCTGGCCACGTCCCAGGGCTACGTCAGGACCCTGGACACTCCCACGGTGGCACAGCTCCACTGAAGCCCAGAGCGGGGCCAGGGGTGCAGATGGGCACCCACGAGCCACACAGATGCCTGGGGCCAGCACAGGCTCCCCTCTGCAGGTCGACACGCTCAACACTGGGGTGCTGAGGACACAGGGATGTGCCCTCCAACAAGGGCTGTGGTGAGGCCACAGTGGACCTCCCAGGGAGACACAGGGGTCTGCTGCTCAAGAGATGCAGCCCTGGCAGGAGGGCTCCGTGAGTGCACACTCTCTTCCGGGCTTCCTGGGTGCGGGGCCTCCCCTGGCACAGCACAGCCCCTCACAGCACAGGACAGTGGCCCCTGGAGCCTTGCTGGGCTCCAGCTCCGTATCTGTGCTTCTGGTAGGCCAGCACCCCATCACCATGTCCTGTGCCTCTCAGGGCCCAGGGTGACCCCTCCCCAGCACAGCTGCCCCTGCAGGACTCCTGCCAGCCCCATTCATGCTGGCCTGACCCCGGCCTGCCATTTTGGAGGCAGCCTTGGTAACCGATGCTCAAATGACCACTGCCCAGGCCAGAATCTCAGAGGAGGCCACAGGTCCCCAGTGCGCTCTGATGGGGCAGCCTCTGCGGGGGCTCCCTGGGCCCTCAACACCCTCCCTTCTCACTGTCCCTCCCTCCCCTGCGAGGGGCGTCCTCAACTGCTTCTGAAACCTGGGGGGCTGTGGTGGGAAACAGGGAGGTCATGTGGTTTCCAGGCTGAGATTATAAACCTGCTGCGTCCCTCCAGGTCTTGGAGCCTGAGGGGATTTACTGGGGGGAGCTGGGAGGGGGCCGGGGAGGATGTGGGAGAGAAGGAAGTGGGAGGAGTGGGCCCCAGCTCCTTCCGACTCATCTGCACGCCCCCCGTGGGCCACGTGACCCCCGTGGGCCGCTCACCAGTGCCCTGTGCACTCACAACCCCCAGAGGGGCGTACCGAGTCCAGGCAACTTGGCCGTTGTACACATCCTCCTGCTCACAGCCAAGAATACTGGGGCAGGTGGGTGGGAAGGGACAACCTCCCCACTTCTCAGAAGCCCCACCCCAGCCCAACCAGAACTGGGTGGCCCATCTCCCTTCTCCTGTGCCCCAAGTCTGGGCCTGGTGGAGTCTGACCAGGGCCATCCCCTGAGCACCCAGGCTCATAGGGAAACGGGGCCTCCAAGCCCCCACGTCACCTTGCAAAGCCCCCTCCTGGGCCACCCTGAGACAGAGGCTGGGTCTGGAGCAGGGCTGTCTGACCAGGGTGTGCCCACAGAGCTGGGATGGGGGGCAGGCCTCACTCCCTCTGCTTGAGGCTTTTCAAGCCCACTTTTTTCAATCTAGAGATTTCACAGGAAAGCCCGTGTTTTCAGCTTCTCCTGAAAAGCCAGATTTGCCCTCAGGTGCCACCTCCTTCCCCTGGGCATCTCTGCCTGGACAAGCCACCGTCTACCTGGGGTATATGCCAGCCACGGGTCCCACCACCCCCAACTGTCACCCCGTGGCCCATGGCTGCTCAGAGGTCCCTGGGCACATCTGAGGCTCTGTCCCTGTGGGATGAAAGCCACCGGGAGGAGGCTTTCCTTAACTGCCTTCGTGAGCTCTGGCAGCCGAGGGGCCACGTGACCCCAGCATCACACGGAAGGCTGGGACGTGCCCCCTCCCCAAAAGCAGTTTCGGCCACACTGTGTTCCCCCTTTCATGGCTGCACGATGTGGCGGCATTTTAACCGCCCCTTCTCAATGCACAACCCGGACAGGCTGTTCTCAACACTCTACTGCAAACCACACACCATTTTACGTCGCCAGAAAGACCCCAAATTTCCATTCAAAAAGATGGTACCAGTTTCAGTTCCCACCAACCTGGAAGGCAGAGACAAAAGGACAGTGTGCCCCTCCTGTAACTTCATTTCTTCAGTGCCTGAAGCTGAGGGCAGAGTCCATGCCTGGGCACAGGGCTGCCACCGCAGCGGCCACCGCCCCAACCCTCGCTCGTCCTCCCAGAGACGACCTGAGCTCTGCTCAGAAGCAGACCTCCTCCTGCTGGGCTCACTTGGGCCCGGTGTGCCAAGGGGGCCTGGTTTTGGGGCCGGCAGGTTCTGCTTGATGCTCAGAGGGTAACTGGATGCTGAAAACCGTGAGTCTTTCTTCAACTCAGGGGAATGTTTCCACGGCAGGCCAGGCCTCACCGACGCAGGCCTCCTCCGGACAACTGTCCGGCACTGACTGAGGGTGAAGTGAAATATTAGAAGCTGAGAGCCAGCGCCTCATACAAAGCTGGGAAGTAACAAAAGCCCACCAAGAGTTCTGCCCAGGGCTTTCCCGGGCCTTGAAGCATGACGAGATCATGAAGGAATTCTTAACAGGACCCGTTTAGTATTAAACAGGTTTTACTGGGGGGGTCTGAAAAAACTCCCCAGGCCTCCACAAACAAGTTTACTGGGCTCTGAAGGAACTCCCCAAACCTCCATGATTTAGCAGAAGAGAAGATAAGGGTAAACACCTGGACCCATTTAGATCAAGTAAATTTACTGAGGTTCCAGAGGAAGATCTTCAGGACTCGAACTTAGGTATAGATTAGAATAATTTAATCACGTATGTCTTTAGATGAATCACACTTACACGTAGACATAGAGCCTAGAAGGTTTATAAGCTCTGGAAAAACTCTGTAATCTGGAGTTAAGTCTGGTAATCGTTTCCGGGCCATCTCCCTGTAACAAGTTACAGAAATAAAATCTCTCTTCTTCCCCAGTCCATCTGCATCTCGCTATCGGGCCTCGGGAATGAGCAGCCCGACCCTGGGTGTGGTCCGGGAATGTTTTGTTCTCGGCGTGACCTGCTTTCTCATCTGTGGTCTTCTCTGTCTTCTGGGACTCCTGTTGTTGGCACGTGGGCTCCTCCAGGGCCACTCTCCCTTTACCTGGCGGAATGCCCTCCTGTGGCTTCCCTGGGCTGAGCGGGGAGGGAGGGTGGCCTGCAGAGGTCCCTGGGCCGAGGAGGGAGGGAGGGTGGGCGGCCTGCAGAGGTCCCTGGGCTGAGCGGGGCGGGAGGGTGGGCGGCCTGCAGAGGTCCCTGGGCTGAGGGGGGAGGGGGGCTGGGCGGCCTGCAGAGGTCCCTGGGCCGAGAGGGGAGGGAGGGTGGGCGGCTACAGAGGTCCTGGGCTGAGCGGGGAGGGAGGGGGCGGCCTGCAGAGGTCCTGGCGAGGAGGGAGGGTGGGCGGCCTGCAGAGGTCCCTGGGCTGAGCGGGGAGGGAGGGTGGGCGGCCTGCAGAGGTCCCTGGGCCGAGGAGGGAGGGTGGGCGGCCTGCAGAGGTCCCTGGGCCGAGGAGGGAGGGTGGGCGGCCTGCAGAGGTCCCTGGGCTGAGGAGGGAGGGTGGGCGGCCTGCAGAGGTCCCTGGGCCGAGGAGGGAGGATGGGCGGCCTGCAGAGGTCCCTGGGCTGAGGAGGGAGGATGGGCGGCCTGCAGAGGTCCCTGGGCCGGGGAGGGAGGGTGGGCGGCCTGCAGAGGTCCCTGGGCTGAGGAGGGAGGGTGACCTGCTGAGGTCCCTGGCTGACTCTGACTCAGTAGAGCTCGTGCCATTCTTCACAGCCGACTCTCACTGAAAATTCACTCTTCCTGAAGCTGTTATGCCCAGACTGTTTGTTCCCCAAAGAAGACCACCAGAGTCCAGAGTCAAAGCCAAGCGGCAAGGATCTTCACTACAAGTTCGAACTTGGTCCCTCCATTCCACAGCATACAGGAGGGCCTCGAACAATGCGAGTGCTTGCTTTTTATAGCCCGATGTAAACAGGATATGTAAAGTTACAGGGAACAAGGTAATCCTCTCGGTTACAGCATTACAATTGGTTAACATTATACATTTAGCATTCCTTATCGGAGATCTCCCAGGTGATGTTTTTCTGAAGTTTGAAAGAAATATGGAGGAATGTGTTTGTGCTGGACTCAGGAAGTTGGGAGATATATGGGGAATGTGCCTCATTCCTTTCAAAGCTCCCCCATTACACTGGGGTCTGAGGGAGCTGCCTATGCTGCTGGTTTGGGTTCTCTCTCTTCTTTGAAATACTGGTTCCCTGCCCCCCCAAAAAAAGCAAGGACACACCTAGACCTGCAGGCCTAGATCCACTGCTGGGGTCTCAACCTCCAGGCTGGTGTGCAGCAGAGTAGCTGCGTTTCCTGGGTGCCCCAGGCATCGGCTGGTCCCAGCATGTGCACCCCTTTACCCGCTGAGCCCCTGGCAGCCAGGGATCACGTCCTGCCAGGCAGGGAGGCTCTGTCCCTCCGTGTGAATGACGAAGAGGGCTGCCCACAGCTGCCCTCTGGCACCATACCCAACATGGTCTCCAAGGCAACCAAGGGTATGTGGACCCCCAACCACTCTGGCAAGTGAGACGTCCTCTCCTTCACGGGGCATTAGGGGCTGACCAGCAGGGGTCGTGGAGCCGAGCTAGAGCTCTGGTCTTGTGAGCAGCTGTGCCATCTCTGTAGAAAACGTCCTTCCATCAGAACCAAACCTCCTGCAGCTAAAGATGGGGAGCTGTTCGGGAGCGGCTGACCCCTTGCCCCTGCCCCATTTCCGGGCTGGTCTTTGTGGCACTGCCTGTGCCTGCAGCTGTCTCTGGGACCAGCACCTTGTTGCCAGCGCCAGGAAATTCAGGGGAGCCACTCTGAGTTCCTCCGAGGACCCACAGCCCCAGTGCCCAGGACCCTCGGGAGACCCGGGGCTCACGGGCATGCGCTTCCTGCCGGGCAGGTGCTGACCTGCCATCCAGCTTCCCCTACTCCCCCGCCCTCCTGTTCAGTCCTATTCAGTGAAGAGAGGCACAGCCTCGGACCCGGGGGCGGGGGGAGGGGGGCTGCCGCCTGGGCTCAGGGCGCTCTCTGGGAGGGATCTGGGCGGATCGTCGGGGTGGGCGGCTCCTTACTGGGGTCTCCACCCTCTTCATTTTAGAGCCGTAGCCGGTGGGCCTGGGTTTCCCAACGCCCCAGAAGCCCTGCGAGGATCCCCGGCCTCCCCGGTGATGGCGGAGAGAGGGGCTGCTGTCCGCAGGAGGTCCCGACCCCAGCCCCGGCCCCTCTACTCCCCCAGGAACGGGATGTTCTTGCGGGGCTTCTCCGGGAACTGCAGGGCGTACAGGTGGGCCATGTACTGGAGCTCAGGCATCACCAGCCTCTGGCACACGCGCAGCGTCTGGTTGTCCAGGCCCGGCCGGAGGTTGTAGCCCAGGATGTCGGCCCTGCCGGACTGGTAGGGGCGCAGGCGCAGGTCTCTGATCTGCGTGCGGTTCTTGGGCTCGCCGCCGTCTTGCAGGCACAGGGTCGCGAGTTCGCGCCTCCGGGCGCGCAGCCGCTCCACCTCCCCGCGCAGCCGCCGTGGCCCCAGCTCGGCGCGCAGCTGCCCCCAGAGGCTGCGGTTGAAATGCTCGTACAGGCGCCAGTCCAGCGCGCACCAGCTCCGCGCGCGCTCCCGGGTCTCGGGCGCCAGGCGGGTCACGGAGCGCGCGCTGCGGGCGTTGATCCTGAAGGCCACCACATCGTCCAGCGCCCAGCGCAGCCGGCGCCGCAGCAGCACCAGGGACTCGTCCAGGTGCTCCGCGATGAGCACCAGCTGGAAGCGCCGCTCCACCTCCGCGATGCGCGCGCGCACGTAGCCCTCCTCGCGCGGCGCGTTGGGGTCGAAGCCGAAGTCGAACCACATGTTGTTCTTGGCGTAGACGTTCTTGAGGAGGCGGCTGTCGTTGTAGAACGTCCGCGGCGAGGCCAGGAACGCGTCCAGGCTCGGGGCGCGCAGGAAGGCGGGGGTGTAGGTTTTGTAGTAGATGAAGGAGGACTCCAGCTGGAACACGGGGTTCCTCAGGATGGAGAAGTAGAAGGTGTTGTTTGGCATGACTTTCTGCACCTGTGTGGCGACAGAGAGGCGGGCTGCGGACCGCGGGCCCGGGCCAGGGTGGCCCACCCGCGGGGAGGAGGCGCGTCCTGGCCACACCCGCTCGGGGAGCCCCCCCATCCACACATCTGCGGAGGGACCAGGGCCTGGCACCTCCTCGTGCAGTAGCTGCGGGAGCAGAGCCAGGGCCACACGCAGGCCCTGTAGCACGGTCACTGGTTCCCTGGGGCCCAAAACAGACGCCAAGGACGCCAGGATGGGGCCTCAGCAGGAGGAGGGAGGAGGAGCTCCCAATGGCACCTCGAGAAGACGCAGAGGCCTCTAGGGGTGGGATGCTGTGGGGCACAGACCCAACACGAAGGGCCCTCCTCGGGCCCCTGGCACAGGGGGCCTTCAGCACTCCACCAGCTGCCAGGCCAGGGTGACACCCACCTAACAGATAAAGAAACTGAGGCCCAGAGAAGGCCCATGACCCGGGTTCCCCACAGGGTGGGTCTGGACTTACCCTCACTTGTGCCCCCTCAGAGGTCCTGGAGGATATACCCCACCCACAGAAAGTAAAGTCATGCAGAAAGCCATGCCCAACTACACCGCTGGCTTCTCCATCCTCAGAAACCCAGGGAGAGAACAGTGGGAGGCCTCCTCCCTGCTCCCGCCCTCTTCCTTTCCTCTCCTCCTGACCCCTCCTCCTCCCTCTGCCCCACGGCCCCCACCTCACAGCACACCCAAGCTGCCCCGCTCTCTGCCCACCACCTCTCCTCACCGGGCCTCACTCTGGCCTCACCTCGTCACCTAGCCTCTGCTGGCCATTCTCCACAGAGCGCTGGGGGTGACCCTAAAATACCTGTGCCTGCCCACAGCCCTCCCGCCCACACTCCCTGCCCTGCTTCTTTTGTAAGGAAGGTCAGGGAAGCCCTGGGGGGAAGAGGGCTCTGTGCTGAGACCTGAGGGACCCAAAGGAGGGCCTGCAGCCACGGGAGCGAAGGTCACGGGGTGGGGTGAGCCAGGCCTGTGCAGTACCAGAGGAGGCCAGAGAAGCGGGAGAGCACTGGGGATGCCCTTGGGCAGGGGCTGTGGGACTCCTAGGTCTCATTCCAAGAGCAACTGTAGGCTACTGGCCACCTGGAGGGGCAGGGGTTGGCTCAGCAGGATGTGCGGCCCAGGCCCTCCCCACCCCCTCTCTGCATGCCCCGCCCCTAAGCCTTCCACCTCCTCTCCGGTCTCCAGGCTACACCACTCAGACCCTGCAGCCACAGCCACAGCCGCAGCCCACCCTCCTCCCCAGCGGGCCACCGCACCTCAGGCAGGTTGAACCTCAGGTGGTTGCACATGATGTTGAAGTGCTGCTGCAGCTCTACGCCTTCCACGTAGCGTGCCAGGAAGAGCCTAGGATAGCCCAGGTGGACGTGCAAGCCGGCGGGCAGTGCCACGGACAGGTTGTGGGTCTCGGCAAAGCGGTAGAGGATGTTGAGGACCGTGCTGCTGGCCGTCTTGTGCGTCTTCAGGAACATGATGTTGGTCACGGGCGGCCCCTTGGCCTGGCCCCCAAACAGGCTGGGAGGGAAGGCACAGGCCACCATCAGCAAGGGTGCAGATGCCCCGATCCCCGCTCAACAATGAACCCCAGCCCGGCAACCGCAACGAGAGACCTCCCAACCTGAGCCCCCCAACTCTAGGCCAGGGGCCCACTGGGTAAACACAGAACCCTGGCCCCAAGCCTTGCCCCACTCCACAACCTCCCATCTGGTGGCCCAAACACAGACTCCCCCAACTGTCTTCCATAACCATGCTCCCCAACTCTGTGCCCCTGAGAACTAAAAATAAAACCCTACATGAAACCCAACTTGGCCAAGGGGACCCCAGACACACCTTAAAACTGAGTTCCCAGCAGTGATGGGATGGGAGGTCAGACCCATCCCATCATCACACCCCCTCCCCTTTGCGGTTTAGACACAGCAACTGCCCAGTGTGAATGTTAAATAGAGACCATGAAGAAAATGTGGCACATATATACCATGGAATACTATGTAGCTATAAAAAAGAATGAGTTCATGTCCTTTGCAGGGACGTGGATGAAGCTGGAAACCATCATCCTCAGCAAACTAACAAAGGAACAGGAAACCAAACACCACATGTTCTCACTCATAAGTGGGACTTGAACAATGAGAACACGTGGGCACAGGGAGGGGAACAGCACATACCAGGGCCTGTCGGGGGGGTGGGGGCAAGGAGAGGGAAAGCATTAGGAGAAATACCTAATGCATGCGGGGCTTGAAACCCAGATGACGGGTTGACAGGTGCAGCAAACTGTCAGGCCTATGAGCCCAAGCTAAGCCATCATATCCCGTGACCTGCACGTAAATATCCAGATGGCCTGAAGCAACTGATGATCCACAGAAGTGAAAATAGCCTTAACTGATGACATTCCACCATTGTGATTTGTTTCTGTCCCACCCTAACTGATCAATGTCCTTTGTAATCTGCCCCACCCTTTAGAAGGTTCTTTATAATCTCCTCCACCCTTAAGAAGTTTCTTTGTAATTCTCCCCACCCTTCAGAATGTACTTGGTGAGCTTCACCCCCTGCCCCCAAAACCTTGCTCTTAACTTCACCGCCTGTCCCAAAACCTATAAGAACCAATGATAATCCCACCACCCTTTGCTGACTCCTTTATCGGACTCAGCCCGCCTGCACCCAGGTGAAATAAACAGCCATGTTGCTCACACAAAGCCTGTTTGGTGGTCTCCTCACACGGACGCGTGAGACACAAACCACCATGGCACGTGTATACCAGTGTAACAAACCTGCACGTTCTGCACCTGTGTCCCAGAACTTAAAGTAAAATTTTTCTTTTAATTAAAAAATGAAAAGAGACCAATAGCCCAGCAGAACCGACTGTGGTCATAAGACACCAAATTACCAACAGGGCCTGAGGCCACGCCAGGCAGGGGCTAAGTCACGCACACTGCACTTAAAGCAGAAACCAGGTTCTCCCTGCCACAAGCTTTTCTTTGTCTCTGGCAGCCAAACGCTGGCCTTGAGATGAACAACATTAAAGCAGGTGCAGCTCACCCCCCGCCATACGCTGCCTCGCTGACCCCTGCTCCACCAGCCAGAACCATAGCTGCGATCGGACAAAAGCCTTATCTCAGTAACTGTCTCCTGAGCAGGGACCCCCAGCCCCGAACCGGTTCTGGCGGTTTACAGAGGCTGCACACCGAGGCTTCACCTTCTGACGTGCAGGGCCTAATTGTAACGCAGTTAGATGTGCAGTCTCCACCCCAAGGTGAACGTGGGTCACATGTAACACACGTGTTTGTTCAGGACACATGCGTCAGGACCCCCTTTACGAATATCCACAGCTCCTCCCGTCACTTGCTGAACGTGTACTTGGCCAAGCCATTCAGAGTATGTCCCCGTCCCACGCCCTCCCTCGAAGTGTCCGATCACAGCCTTTCAACGGCTGTGCTCCCAGCCTGTGGGATGTCCACACTTTATAAGAAACAAAGTCTCCTCTCCAAATTTATAGATGTCATGATTCTTCAGCTGACACCCCCAACCCAGGAACCCCCACCAGATCCAGCACTGCGCCCCGACCTACAGACCCTCAGCCCCGGCCTCAGGGCCCCACAGAGACAGTGTCCTCAGACCCACCTCTGTTTCCCTCAGGGGCTACACCCTCTGGCCCACACGTCACCCCAGCCTTCTCCCTGGCGCCCAGGCGTGCACGTGCAGCTGGCCCTGTGACCTCATGCGACATCATGTGACCTCAGCCACACATGCGGTGCTTCTTGGCAGTCCGTTCACACCAGGAAAAGGAAGGACCCCAAAGCCGAGACTGGCGGCCAGAGGTAGGGCTGGAGTAGACGCTGGGCCCACTCTTGGAACCCATCACGACACCTACCCAGTGGGCCTGGAGTAGCAGGCGCCCTCCCTGCCCCAGAGCAGGGCCAGCAGGAGTGACCAGGATGGTGGGGTCAGGGTCTCCAGGCCTAACCAGCCTGGGCGACGCGGGTGAGCAAAGACAGGGTCCTTGGGACCTGTCTCCGGCAGCTCAGCTCGGCCCAGAGGGGACTGGTGCTTCCTCTCTCTTCCAACCAGAGGGGCTGGGGAGTGGCAGGGCCTGGAAGACCCTCCCAGCAGCCTGGCTGAAGCCCTGTCTGGAGGCACAGCTGGGCTGCGAGGTGGGCACCTCCATGCACAGGGGCTCCACAGAGGATGTACCACAGGCGGGCAGAGGAGAGGGTCTCCAGGCGGGCCCAGGGCTGCGAGGTCTGTCCTGAGCACAGTTCCGACCTTTTCCTTCCCAGATCCCAGCCCAGGCCCAGCCCAGGCCCACAGGCCACCTCTGTTGTGGGGAGCAAGAAGGAGGCCTCCAGCCCTGCCCGCCACACTAGGGACCCTCTGCACACACTAGCTGGCTCTGCCCCCAAACCCAGACCCGGCCCCTGCTCCCCAGAGCCCTCCCCAGAGGCCCAGGCAGGTTTGTGGTTAACAGGAGACTCTCCGGGTGCCCCCGAGGAAGGGCCCATCTGTCTCTCCTCTTCCAGAGGGATTCAGGCCCAGTGGGGAGGTGTGACCATGCTGGGGTCCCGGGCTCTGCCCTCGGGGCTGTTAGGAGGCGCCTGCCCGGGGCAGGACTTACGGTGGCGGCAGGACTTACGGTGTGACAAGCTCTAAGTCCGTGAGAAGGAATCTGGCCAGCACCAGCAGAGTCAGGGCCAGGAGGAGGAGGAGGATGACCCGGAAGTACCTGTGGAAATGGCAGCCCATGAGTGCCCAGGCCGGGCTGTGCCAACCCCACCCCACCTCCCATCCTTCGGCCAAGCCCAGGTCCTTGGGCCACACAGGTCTGGGCCTCCCCTCATCTCTGTAACATCTTGTCCTCAAATCCACTGGGTGCCGGCCCAGGGCTTAGGGGGTCTCAACCCAGGACAGGCCTGAATCTGATCCCACCCTGACCACCCGTGAATGGCTCAGGGCTGGAAAGAGCCTAGTGGATGAGCCATCCCCTTCCCTGGGGTTCGGGAGCTGACAGGGCTGCGCTCCTGGGACCAGAGGTGGGAGCAGGTCAGGGGACCTCTACCCAGGCAGGGCCCCCTGGGAGACTGTGATGGGACGGCGACCCTGAGCTCTGCACCCCAGGGGATCTGGAGAGGCCGAGAGTTTGGTGCAATGGACTGTGCGCCCCCAGAATCCACGGGCCAAACCCCTAACACACAGCGTGGCGGTGCCTGGAGGTGGGGCCTCTGGGACATGTCAGGGTTGGACGAGGTTGTGAGGGCGGGTGGAGACCCTGTAATGGGATTCGTGTCCTTCTGAGACAAGGAAGACACCAGAGTGCAGCTTCCACTCCCCACCCTCACTCCCTACACGGGGGCACAGAGAGAAAGTGGCACCTGCAGGCCAGGAGGGGGGCCCTCCCTAGGAACCCGCCACGCTGGCTTGAGGTCACGCGCCTTCCGGCCTCCAGAACCGTGAGAAGCATATGTCTGCTGCTGGGGCCATCCTGTCTGTGGTGTCTGCTGTGGCAGCCCGGGCTGACTGGGCCTGAAGGAAGCATGATGCCTCCAGACAGGGAGGCGGGGCCCACACGAGGAGGCCTGAGGAGGCCTGGCCTGGGTCCCAGGAACCCGGCAGGTGCAGCCAAATCAGGGAAGAGCAGATCTGGATAAGTCCTGACCGCAGAGTCGGGCAGGGAGCCAGGGTCCCCCATCCACTGGGCAAAGCCCCCCATCAGGTGATAGCAGCAAAGAGGCCCCTCAATGATGGGGTGGGGCTACCACGTGGGCCGGGTTCCCTCAATGATGGCGTGGGGTGCCACGTGGTCCGTGGTTCCTCAGTGATGGGTTGGGGGTGCCACATGGGCCATAGTGTCTCGGTGCAGGTCAGGCACAGGCTACAAGGGAAGCAGACACCACACCTGCACTCGACAAGCTTAGCATCTGGAGAGGACACAAGGGGTGAGCTTCCTGCTTGGACTGGGGCCTTTGCATGGGGCCTTACAGGGTACATAGGAGCACAACAAGCCAGTGGGGAAGGAGGAATTGTAACCAAGGCAAAGCGGGGCAAGAAGCCCAGCAGCTGGAGGAGAGGGCAGGCGGCAGGTGGGTCAGGGGGCTGGGGGTGCTAGAACAGCAGGGAGGCAGGACCCAGGCCCAGTGCGACGTCACTCTTCACCCTCCCGGGGCGTGGAATTGGGTTAGGATCTGCCCCGCTGCTCAGTGGTCACACGACCATTCATGCTCTGCCTGGGAGAAGAGGGGAGGGCTGGGCTGGCTCTGCCCCGCCCCACTGGCCCCTGCCCAAGAAGAGTTCCTGATAGGCAGGTCCTCACTCCCACACGCTGGCCCAGCACTCCTCTCCTTTTGGGGAAAGGAGATGATTTTCGCATAAAACAATCTTGAATTTTAGCATAATCTCCAAGAAGAGAATTTTTAACTAAGAAGTCACTTCTAAAGTTCAAATAGACAAAAAACATATAGTGATGGCCAGAAAAATTCTAAACAGTCATGATAACGAACGTCGGCTCTCCCAGATCTACTCCATAGATCACAATCAGTTCCATATGGGTCAAAGATTTAATGTAAAAAAATAAAACCACCGAAGTCAGAGGATAAAAGAGAATGAGGCTGCCATCTAAGCAAGACACAAAACCAAAAGGTTATGAAGAAAAGAAAGACAAATCGGGCAAACATGTAATGTTTCAGGCCAGGCGCAGCGGCTTACGGCTGTAATCCTAACACTGTGGGAGGCAGAGGCGGGAGAATTGCTTGAGCCTAGGAGCTTGAGGCCAGCCTGGGCAATATAGTGAGACCCCATCTCTGCTTCTTGAAACATTGCTGTTGGAATGTTTCAAGGATGGCTGCGCCAGGGTGGCCAGGTGCATTCTGACAGCAAACAGGGGCAGCCCTCAGGACCTCAAGCCCCTCGCAGTCCCCTCACCCTGCATGGGACCTCAAGGCACCCCTGGGGCTGTGGCCACAGCAGTGAGCTGGCAGGCAAGGCTCTGGTCAAAGTGCCTGCCCCACCCAGCCACTAGCTGACCCACATGGGGCCAGCTCAGGGCCGCCAACAGCCCAGCCCCTCACGGGAACCACCAAGTAGTCCACACTGGAACCTCCAGCTCCAAGACTGCGGCTTTCAACAGAACCTCTTCGTATGACATCTTGTCTCCTTTCTTCCACACCAAGGGTGTGGGTCTCGAAGACACTGGGGATGGTAGAACCAGGAACTCCCATAATATCTCACACTTCATCCTCACGGCACACACGGCACCTCAGACACCAATGCCGGTGCCACCACCGTGGCTCTACCACAGCCACGCTTCTAGGAGACGGGATAGGAGCTTCCGGCCCTCCCTTCACCTCCACTCTACAATTCTTCAATGCACCCTCCAGTCCTTAGTCAAAATGCAACCACCTTGAAGAGGCTCCCAGCGGCCAAGGCCCAGTAAACACTAGAATCCCCAGGCACAGGGAGGGGAGCGTGAGGGGCCGCAGAGCAGAGAGGGCCATGCACCCCAGGCAGGGTCAGGGTCCCGCTGGAGACACCCACAGCTTCGTGAGAGAGGACATGTTTTCCCACACCCAGACGAGGCCCCACACTGACCGCGGAGCTCCTGCTCTGCCGTTGGGTCCCTTCTGCGGACTCCCCAAGACCCTCCCCGGGAGAGCGGCTGCCCGGGGTGGGAAGGGCAGTTGTACGGCTCCGCACAGTTAGAGATTAACCCACTGATAAGGCCCAGGGTGGGAAGGGCAGTTTTACGGCTCCTCACAAGGCCCGCGCAGGACACCAGCAGGGTCTCTCAGCTGCCACTCTTGGCCATCACTTCCGTTCAGCTATAGTCAACTCCTTCCTCAAACACCCTGCACCTTTATGGCCCCTCACTCTGCACCTTTATGGCCCCTCTGCACTTTTATGGGAGACGCTGGCTATCTGTTTGAGAGCTGCTTTCACACTTACAACACCCACCTTGGCCTTGGGGCAACATGAATCGTCTCTGTTCTTTGCAACTGCCCAATTAAAACAATGACGTCTCCAGAGAAATGCCACAGCTTTCTCAAGGCGGGCTCTTCCCTTGCCAAAGGACCTGCTAGTCCCACACCTGCAGGGATCAGGTAGGGTGGTCAATGTTGGAGCAACCGGGAAGAGGGCCCAGGAGGTGAATCCAGCCACAGGTGCACTTGACCGACCCAGAGGACTGTGGGGCAGTAAATGGGTGATGTGTTCCACCAAGCAGAGAGATGGTGTTTCTGTCCTTACACCAGGGGTTACACGTTGTTACACATTCTTTAAGGAGAGCCCGTGGCTGCACTACTGTGAATTTACTAAAAACCACTGAATTGTGCACTGTAATTGGGTAAATTCTTTAGTATGTGAATTGCATCCTAATAAGCCTGTTAAAAAAGTAAATAATCAATTCAAAATGTTAAAGAGTTTAGCTGCTAAAAAACTTGAAAGCTAATGATTGTGGGGGAAAATGAAATATTGCCAAAAATTATAAACCATTTGACATTGCTTTCAAGTGCCTTTAGCTTTTAGGGGCTTCATAAAGTCCCCAAGGACCCTCCCCTCAAGCTGAAGCTGCCTTATGGGACTCACAACTGTGGGGACTGCGGCCAGGCCCTGCTGCCTTTGCTCTGGGGGTTGCCAGAGTAGCTCAGTGGTTCCCAAAGGGCCTCAAACTTCCTGCTGTTGGGGCCTCGGGGCTTGGAGGCCACTGACCTGCTGCCTCCTTGGGAGCGCCCAGAAGATCTGGCTTTCCGGCTCTGGGCAGGTTGCTGGGACCGATGGTTCTTGATCACCCCGGACAGATGGCCCTGGCAAGTCCCTGAGGCTCCCAAAAGAAAGAGCAGAGAGGCCAGGGAGGCACTGGCCCAGTTCCAGTGGGGACAGAGGGGACGGCTTGAGGCACCAGGCCCAGGCCCCGGCCCTGCGAGTACAACTCAGTGACCTGTGAGTGCCTGCAGGACAGCAGTTCCCAGGGCATTCAGAGAGAATTCTACAACTTCTGAGTAAGAACCAACAAAATATCTAAAATTAGGAGTAATAAAAGTCTTGGGCAGGTGTGGGGGCTTACCCCTGTGATCCCAGCACTGTGGGAGGCTGTGGTGGGAGGATCAATTGAGTCAAGGAGTTCAAGACCAGCCTAGGCGATATAGTGAGGCCACCATCTCTATGGAAAATACAAAAATTAGCTGGGTGTGGTGGCTCGAGACTGTGGTCCCAGCCACTCAAGAGGCTGATGCAGGAGAATCACCTGAGCCAGGGAGGTTGAGGCTACAGTGAGCCTTGATCTCACCACCGCACTCCAGCCCGGGTGACAGAGCCAGTCTCTGTCTCAAAAAAATAAACAAACAAAAACAACAACAACAACAACATGGCTGGGCGCGGTGGCTCAAGCCTGTAATCCCAGCACTTTGGGAGGCCGAGACGGGCGGATCACGAGGTCAGGAGATCGAGACCATCCTGGCTAACCCGGTGAAACCCCGTCTCTACTAAAAAATACAAAAAACTAGCCGGGCGAGGTGACGGCGCCTGTAGTCCCAGCTACTCGGGAGGCTGAGGCAGGGGAATGGCGGGAACCCGGGAGGCGGAGCTTGCAGTGAGCTGAGATCCCACCACTGCACTCCAGCCTGGGCGACAGAGTGAGACTCCGTCTCAAAAAAATAAAAAAAAAAAAACAAAACACGCCTTAAGACATCCTGTCTCCAGCTCAGGGAACTTCTGGTTTTGGAAACCTTGATGACTGTGAGGAAGACTCGCAAATTCTTATGGCGATGGTTTTTCACACTCCAGGATTAAACACACACACACACAATACAAACACACACAACACACACACATACACAATACACAATACACACACACAATACAAACACACACAATACACACACATACACACACAATACACATACACAATACACACACATACATATACACACACACATGCATACACAATACGTACATACACACATACACAATACACACACATACATACACACACACATGCATACACAATACGTACATACATACACAATACACACACACAATACACACACATACACACAAGACACAATACACACATACATACATATACATACATACACACATACACAATACGTACACACAATACACACACATACACATACACACATACACACATACACAATACATATGCACACACACACAATACACACACATACACACAAACAATACACAATACACACATACATACATATACACACGTACTCACATACACAATATGTACATACACACACACAATATACAATACACAAACACAGATACACATACACACATACACACAATACACAATACACATAGTACACACATACATACATATACACACATACACATATGCATACACAATATGTACATACACACTACATACATACACACAATACACAATACACATAGTACACACATACATACATATACACACATACACATATGCATACACAATATGTACATACACACATACGCACTACATACATACACACACATACACAATACACACACATACACAATACATGATACACACACATACACACAACACACACACAATACACATACACACACAATACACAATACACACATACATAATACGCACATACACACATACACAATACGTATGCACACAATATGTACACACACAATACATACACATACACACACATATACACACACATATATGCACACATATACACATATACATATGTACACACATACACAATACATACATATACACACATACACAGTACGTACATACAATACACACACATACATACACAATACACATACACAGATATACATACATACACACACACATACACACATGCATATACAATACGTATATGCACACACAATACACACACACACACATACATACAGATACATACACATACACACACACAGACACATACATCCCCCTGCAGTTCCTTCTGACCAGCTCACTGGACATGGATGAACTTTATGGCAAAATAAACTTTCTAAATTAACTGAAACCTGTCTCAAATTTGGGATGTTCATAGGCTTCAGTTAGTTTAGAAAGCTTATTTTGCCAAGGTTGAGGACACGCACCCGTGCCCCAGGCTCAGGAGGTCCTGATGACGTGAGCCCAAGGTGGTGAGAGCACGGTTTGGCTTTATACATCGCAGGGAGACATGAGACATCAGTCAGCATATGCAGGGTGAACATTGGTTCGGTCTGGAAAGGCGGGGCAACTCGAAGCAAGGGCAGGAAGACTCCAAGTGGGGAGGGGGCTTCCAGGTCACAGGTAGGTAAGAGACAAATGGTTGCATTCTTTGGAGTTTCTGATGAGCCTCTCCAAAGGAGGCAGTCAGATATGCACTGATCTCAGTGAGC